CCGTGTATTGCGTGTAATCACATCCATACAGTTTATGATCAGAACAACAACGTTTGTCAGGCATCTACATCGTCATCTGAGGAGATTACAAAGATTAAACCAGTGTTTTTTAAACTCTAAAACATGAAATGTGGAGTTATCCGCTTTTGCTATAAAACAAACTTTTAATAGCCTATGTGAAAAATAACATACTTTCAATGAAGCTTAATTTAGTTAATTACCTGTATCTGTTTAAGTTTTTATTACTTAATCAAAACAACCCGACTGCAGTTTGATTGATATTACTTGGAATGCGCAATAAAAAAAAAAAGTGATTTCAGAAAAAAAAAAAAATGGAGTTATCGGTTTTTGCAAATGAACTCTTCATATATTTATTGAGTAGTAGTAGTAACCGTGGTGTGTGTTTCAGACAGAGCACTTCGTCAGTCTGTACTGGGGTGACGGCGTCTCCTCCTCCTCTGCGTCTCCTGCTCCTCCTGCGGCGGCCGCTGGCTCTGCGGAGCACTATGTGGTGGATCGAGCTCAGTTTAAGAGTCTGTATGAGCTGCTGACGCCGTGGAGCTGCGGGACACACACAGACACCGTCGCTCAGCGCGCCTTCACTCTGCTGGATCAGGACCGAGACGGCCTCGTCACCTTCTCTCACTTCACTCAGATGCTGGGTACACACGCTTCAGACATCACACACACACACTGTACACCTGTGCTTTCCTCCGTCACTGACAGCAGCGTTTCCCTGCAGACCTTCTGTACTGTGAGGAGCTGAATGAGAAGATCCGGCTGCTGTATCGACTGCACATCCCTCCAGGTTCAGATCCACGCTTCACTGCAGAACATCAGGCTCTTACAGGAGTCTTCATTCACCCGTCCACAAGTTCAGCCCTAAAAACCTCTTATATCAGAGCAGAAAGGCTTAAATCTTAAAGCCGTGGCATTAAATGCTGCATGCACTGCTGTCTTGTTTTCCAGTACAAAAATCTAAACATCCTTAAATCAAGACACATTTACTGGAGATGCGAAAGTCCTGTTTTCTGAGACATTAAAAACTATTAAAAAACATTACTTGAAATAAAATGAACTTAAAACTGAAAAAACATTTAGAGAACATATTGACGTATTGTTTCCTTTAATTTATTCCTTAGTTTTTCTTTAATTGGTCTTAAAAAGTAAAACTTGCAGAAACCGTGAAATAAAACAGTTTAAAATTAAGATAAATTTACTTGAGAAGCTAAATGGCTAAAAGTATTGTTTTCTTGTTTCTGATAAAAATTGTGATCGCAATTTAATTTGTAGGGCTGCACTATTTGGCAAAACTTTATATATTTTTATTTTTATATATCAATATGGCTATAAAATAATAATAATAATTATTATTATTATTATTAATCAATAATTATTATTACTACTACTACTATATAAAAATATGTAAATGACTACAAAATTAAAATATTTCTATTGTAATATTTCACTGTGAAATAACAAAATTGAGTATTAAAAAAATAATCATAAATATAATTTTATTTTACATTTAGAACCGTAAAATTACAAAACTAATATTTGTCTTAATTTCTTCATTTTCAAATGTTAAACCGTCAGACTTTTATTTTGACAGAAAACGACGGAATAAAATGTATAGAAATTACTAAATACGAAAATAAAAAAAATATTAATATTGTAATATTTCACTGTAAAATAAAAAATGTAGCATTAAAAAATAATAATTTTTATTGTACATTTACAACCGTAAAATTGCAATATTAATATTTGTCTTAATTTCTGCATTTTGAAATGTTAAACCATCAGACTTTTATTTTGACAGAAAACGGCAAGGAATAAAATATAATAAAAATGTGAAGTCTTGTTTTCTTTTAAATTAATTGTGAAGTTTTCTGTGAAAATTAATTGCGTTTTTGCTTTAAACAAACAAATATCAGATATCAGAAAAATAAACTTAATTTTTTTTCTTTCATATCTTCATTTTGCGTCTCCAGTAAATGTGTCTTGATTTAAGGATGTTGAGATTGAAAACAAGACGGAAATACTGAGGAAGAACGCATTTTTGCAGTGCATTAATGTAAGTCACCTTTATTTCTATAGAATTTTGTACAATACAGATAGTTTCAAAGTAATAAGCAGGAAAATAGCAGTTGTAAAATTCATCAATTAAGAATCAAACTCAGTTTTATCTGTAAAGCAGCTCTACAGGAGACAATAGAGTCGTTATCCAGATCAGCTCGGCTCAGTTTTGTTCTCGTCTGATCGTGTCAGTGCAGTGAAATCATCTGTAATGTCTGTGATGGTTAATTGTCATGAGTGTGTTAGGCGCTCCTGAAGGTCTGTGTTGTTCTTCTCAGCTCTGAGCGAGGACGCAGAAGACTCGTCTCCTCTGAAGAGTCCCGTGTTATCCAGCACCAGACCTCTCTGTGTCAGCGCCAACGGTACGTGAGTGTGTGTGTGTGTGAGTGTGTGTGTGTTTATGAGTGTGTTTATGAGCGAGTGAGTGTATGTGTGTGTTTATGAGTGTGTTTATGAGCGAGTGAGTGTATGTGTGTGTTTATGAGTGTGTTTATGAGCGAGTGAGTGTATGTGTGTGTTTATGAGTGTGTTTATGAGCGAGTGAGTGTATGTGTGTGTTTATGAGTGTGTTTATGAGCGAGTGAGTGTATGTGTGTGTTTATGAGTGTGTTTATGAGCGAGTGAGTGTATGTGTGTGTTTATGAGTGTGTTTATGAGCGAGTGAGTGTATGTGTGTGTTTATGAGTGTGTTTATGAGCGAGTGAGTGTATGTGTGTGTTTATGAGTGTGTTTATGAGCGAGTGAGTGTATGTGTGTGTTTATGAGTGTGTTTATGAGCGAGTGAGTGTATGTGTGTGTTTATGAGTGTGTTTATGAGCGAGTGAGTGTATGTGTGTGTTTATGAGTGTGTTTATGAGCGAGTGAGTGTATGTGTGTGTTTATGAGTGTGTTTATGAGCGAGTGAGTGTATGTGTGTGTTTATGAGTGTGTTTATGAGCGAGTGAGTGTATGTGTGTGTTTATGAGTGTGTTTATGAGCGAGTGAGTGTATGTGTGTGTTTATGAGTGTGTTTATGAGCGAGTGAGTGTATGTGTGTGTTTATGAGTGTGTTTATGAGCGAGTGAGTGTATGTGTGTGTTTATGAGTGTGTTTATGAGCGAGTGAGTGTATGTGTGTGTTTATGAGTGTGTTTATGAGCGAGTGAGTGTATGTGTGTGTTTATGAGTGTGTTTATGAGCGAGTGAGTGTATGTGTGTGTTTATGAGTGTGTTTATGAGCGAGTGAGTGTATGTGTGTGTTTATGAGTGTGTTTATGAGCGAGTGAGTGTATGTGTGTGTTTATGAGTGTGTTTATGAGCGAGTGAGTGTATGTGTGTGTTTATGAGTGTGTTTATGAGCGAGTGAGTGTATGTGTGTGTTTATGAGTGTGTTTATGAGCGAGTGAGTGTATGTGTGTGTTTATGAGTGTGTTTATGAGCGAGTGAGTGTATGTGTGTGTTTATGAGTGTGTTTATGAGCGAGTGAGTGTATGTGTGTGTTTATGAGTGTGTTTATGAGCGAGTGAGTGTATGTGTGTGTTTATGAGTGTGTTTATGAGCGAGTGAGTGTATGTGTGTGTTTATGAGTGTGTTTATGAGCGAGTGAGTGTATGTGTGTGTTTATGAGTGTGTTTATGAGCGAGTGAGTGTATGTGTGTGTTTATGAGTGTGTTTATGAGCGAGTGAGTGTATGTGTGTGTTTATGAGTGTGTTTATGAGCGAGTGAGTGTATGTGTGTGTTTATGAGTGTGTTTATGAGTGAGTGAGTGAGTGTGTGTGTTTGTTTGTGAGTGTGTGTGTGTTTATGAGTGAGTGAGAGTGTGTGTGTGTGTTTATGAGTGAGTGTGTGTGTTTGTGTTTATGAGTGAGTGAGTGTATGTGTGTGTTTGTGAGTGTGTGTGTGTGTTTATGAGTGAGTGTGTGTTTATGAGTGAGTGAGTGTGTGTGAGTGTATGTGTGTGTTTATGAGTGTGTTTATGAGTGAGTGAGTGTGTGTGTGTGTGTGTGTGTGTATGAGTGAGTGAGTGTATGTGTGTGTGTGTTTATGAGTGAGTGTGTGTTTATGAGTGAGTGAGTGTGTGTGAGTGTATGTGTGTGTTTATGAGTGTGTTTATGAGTGAGTGAGTGTGTGTGTGTGTGTGTGTGTGTATGAGTGAGTGAGTGTATGTGTGTGTGTGTTTATGAGTGAGTGTGTGTTTATGAGTGAGTGAGTGTGTGTGAGTGTATGTGTGTGTTTATGAGTGTGTTTATGAGTGAGTGAGTGTGTGTGTGTGTGTGTGTGTGTATGAGTGAGTGAGTGTATGTGTGTGTGTGTTTATGAGTGAGTGTGTGTGTGTTTGTGTGTTTATGGGAGTGTGTGAGTGTATGTGTGCGTTTATGAGTGTGTTTATGAGCGAGTGAGTGTATGTGTGTGTGTGTGTTTATGAGTGAGTGTGAGTGTGTGTGTTTATGAGTGAGTGAGTGTGTGTGTGTGTGTTTATGAGTGAGTGAGTGTATGTGTGTGTGTGTTTATGAGTGAGTGTATGTATGTGTGTGTGTGTTTATGAGTGAGTGTATGTGTGGTGTGTTTATGAGTGAGTGAGTGAGTGTGTTTGTGTGTGTTTATGTGTGTGTGTGTTTGTGAGTGTGTGTGTTTGTGAGTGAGTGTATGAGTGAGTGAGTGTGAGTGAGTGAGTGTGTGTTTATGAGTGTGTGTTTATGAGTGTGTGTAATGCTGCGCTTCTCGCGTGTCTGAAGGAGAGAGGCAGAGTTATGAAGAGCAGCTGCAGCAGATGCTTCAGGACTTGAGCAGAGGAAAGCAGAAGAACGAGGAGAAGCCTCTTCCTCACATGAACCAGGTGATCCTTCAGCTTCAGAGCTCAGACTGATGCGCTGCGTTTCATCTCTCAGTACATCACTACAGTCACACTCGCGTCTCTGTTTTGTAGCACATGCTTTAACATAATTCAGTGCGTTAGATGATTCTTCCTCTTAAAAGCACAGTGCGCATGACAAGTAAAAAACATTTACGTTTATTCATTCAGCTGATGCTTTTATCCAAATGAGGATCATCACAAACAAGTTGTCATTAAAGCCAAAATACAGTACATCACGTCACGTTTAAAGTTGTATGTATGCAAATATGTCTGTTAAAGCAATAAGCCCCGTGAAGCTGAAGCCCGTGAAAATCGAATTGTGATTTTTCTGATAAAAATTGTGATCACAATTTAATTCGTAGGGCTGCACTATTTGGCAAAACTTTGGTCATTTATATATCAATATGGCTATAAAATAATAATAATGATAATATTATTATTGTTGTTATTGATATAATAATAATAATTATTATTATTATTACTACTACAACTACTACTAAAAAATAAAAATATTACTATTGTAATAGTTCACTGTGAAATAAAAAAAGTAGAGTATTAAAAAATATAATTTTATTTTACATTTAGAACCGTAAAATTACAAAACTAATATTTATCTCCTGATTTCTTCATTTTCAAACATTAAACCATCAAACTCTTATTTTGACAGAAAACGACAAGGAATAATATATAAATTACTAAATACAAATAAAATAAATATTAATAGTGTAACATTTCACTGTAAAATAAAAAGTGAAGTATTAAAAAACATGATTTTTATTTTACATTCACAACTGTAAAATTGCAATATTTATGTCTTAATTTTCAAATGTTGAACCATCAGACTTTTATTTTGACAGAAAACGTCAAGGAATAAAATATAATAAAAATTTGTAAATTAAATACAAATAAAATGAAATAAATATTAATATTGTAATATTTCACAGTAAAATAAAAAAGTATTTTAAATAACTTAAAATTACAATACTATTATTTATGTCTTAATTTCTTCATTTTCAAATGTTAAACCATCAGACTTTTATTTTGATGGAAATCCAGGAGCCTTAAAGGTGACGGATCATGAGCTGTGTAAATGAACACAGTGCTGCGCTTCACTATGAAACACACACCGCATATACTTATGTAAATAAATCTGGCTGCATTGTTGATTTTATTCCTGTACTCCTGAGTGTGAATAGTGGACTCTTAACCCGTCTTGAACTAATGCTTCTGAACGGTGTGTTGTGTCCCGTCAGCACCAGTTCATCCAGTTCTGCAAGACGCTCTACAGCATGTTTCAGGGCGATCCGGGCGAGGCCGAGCTCTTCCAGGCCATCGGGATGGTCACCAGCCTCGTGCTGCAGATCGGAGAGGCTCGACAGAGCGGCGAGAGCCGGAGCGAGGAGCACTGGTCAGCCAGCTTCGAGCAGATCCTGGCCTCTTTACTGACCGAGCCGGTGCTGGTTAGCTTCCTGGAGCGACCCGTCCAGCTGAGAGCCAGGATCAGCGCCGCCAAGCCCCGTCAGTACCAGGAGCGCGCTGGGCTGCTGATGATCCAGCACACACACCCACGAGTGCCTTGATCTTCACAGACGTCTACACAATCCCATGATGCCGCTGGGGGGAGCCGGACTCAACTCAACAGCAATCTGTGTGTTTCATCAGCAGCATACTTTACTTTGCAGATCTCAAACAGATACCAAGTCTGACAGGACTGAACTGTTTACATGTTACTGACCATATGATCAACTCACATGAAGGAAATACTGATCGTTATTATTATTATCGAACGATTCTGAATCACCAGGCGAATCTGATGCATGCTGAAAGCTTCAGTTAGAATGTTTACACTGCTCTTCCTCAGTATTTCCATCTGGTTGTCCAGTACATATATCTAAGCATTCTTAAATCAAGACACATTTACTGGAGACGCACAGCGACAGAAGATATTAAAGGTGAAGTTCTCACAAAAAAATGTTACATTTTTTGGTGAACCGTCCCTTTAATTTTAGTTTTCTGAAAAAAGCTTAAAACAAGAAATATCTTCCAGTGGGGTCAGAAAAATAATCTGGTTTCTCCTTTGAATTCATTTAATTTTTCTGAGCCAGCTGGAAAATGTTTTTTCTTGTTTTAAGCAAAAACTGACTTCATTTCGAAAACAAGATTTGTCGTTTTGCCACACACACAAAAAAAAAAGAATTGTGAATTTTGGGTGAACTGTCCCTTTAAGTCTTATTTTCATTTCTTATAAATGATCAAAAAGTGAGTTTAAGCTTAAAACAAGAATATCTTCCAATGGGTTCCAAAAAATAATCTTGTAATCCTCATGTTTTTTCTTGTTTCAAGCAAAAACTCACTTAATTTTGATGCATTTGAAAGAAAACAAGATCTTGAATCTTCTCGAATGTCATGATTTGAGGATGTTTGCTCTGGGACATGACAGAAATACTGAGGAACAACAGCGTTCAAAACATGCAAAGTACAGCTGGTTTGTTGATGATCTGTGCTAGATACTGATCTAGTTTCATCACCTAATCACTCATGAGAAGTGAACGCCTGATTTTCCTTAAATGCACCTCTCAGATTGATAAAAGTGCCTTAAACACAATCAGCCATACGAGTGAGTGAATTCACGTTCATGTTCAGTTTCCGCTTCTGAGTTGAGTCCTGACCAATCTAGCCGTCGTACTGCATTTATCAGACTCTCATCAGATGGAGCATTCGATACACTCACACCTCAAGCCCGAATGAATGCACGAGCACCGCTTTAAACCATGTTATTTGCTGATGAGTTTACATGTACTGCTGATTTTATTCTCTACCGTCTCACGTCAATACTCACACATGCCACAAAACTCATCTGACAAGAAATAAATCATGCACGACAAAATCCTTTTATGTTTTTATTCCAACAAGCATGAAGAGAAACTTAATTTTCATCCACATTTACAGTCTGAAGACCTGCCAACACACAAAACAGAAGAGATGTTTTAACACAAACACGTCATGACCCGAGCACACGTTAATGAGTCAGATATGATTAAACATGAGGGACATTAACATGCACGTACAGTGTGAGGACCAAAGCATGGAAGCCTCTCCGCCACTGAATTAAACCAAACAAGGAAACTGACATTTTATCTCACCTTTTCTGAGATATAAACTTGCCATTCTGACTTCATAATAAACAAATGCATTTTTATATCCTGCGATTCTGGCTTTATAACACGCAATTCTGAGTTTATATCTCACAATTGAGGGGGAAAAAAACCCACAGAATTGACTTTCTCAGAACTAGGAAATGTTTTTTATCAGAGTTACGAGTTAATCTCACAATTCTGACTTTTTTCTTGCAATTGTGAGTTTATATCTTGCAACTGACTTTCTCTCAATTCTGACTTTTCTGAGAATTTCACTTCTGACTTTATAACACGCAACTGCAAGTTATAAAGTCCAAATCTGAGAGAGAAAAAAATAGTGTTTTCTTACAATTCTGAGTTTATATCTCGCAATTGAGAAAAAAGACATTTTTTAAAGACACCCTAGGTTAAAAGGTTTTAAGGTTAAAGACACCATTTCTCAGAATTATTACATTTCTCTTGCGAGATTTAAACTCGCAATTCTGGATTTTTTCTCACAATTGCAAGCTAAAAAGTCAAAATCTGAAAGAAAAAAAAGACAATCGCACAATTGTGAATTTCTATCTCGCAATTCTGACTTTACAACTCGCAATTGCATTTTTATATCCAGTAGGCCTGTATCTGACTTCATAACACGCAATTCTGAGTTTATATCTCACGATTGAAAAAACAAAAACAGACAGAATTTACTATTTCTCAGAACTATGAGTTTAAATCTCGCAACTGACTTTCTCAATTCTGACCCATTTTCTGAGAACTGAGAGATACAAACTCGAATAACACGCAATTGTGAGTTTACGTCTCACAACTGAGAGAGAAACAGACAGAATTTACCTTATTTCTCAGAACTATGACTTTACGAGTTAAAATCTCACAATTCTGACTTTTTTTCTCGCAATTGTGAGTTTATATCACACGATACCGAGAAAAACGGTCAAGCGCGACATGTAAACTCACAATTGCGAGAAAGAGAGGTGATTGTGAAGCATGTGTGACTGAACGAGGGTGCAGCGCTGGTCCTCACCTCTGTAGGTGGTGACGGGGACGTATGTGACGAGGGTGTACAGCTTGTTTGGAGAGTCCTCGTCTTCGTTGCGCTTCCGGGACAGACGCACACGCATGCGGTACGGCACGTTCCTGCAGAACACCACACATTACAACAACACAATAATACAATAGCACCGCTGCAGCCATCGGGACCAGACTCACTCACCGCACGCCTTTGGCCCACACGGCCTTGTTGAGACGGGTGTCGATGCGGACGTCAGGCGTGCCCATCTCCTTCACAGCAAACTTGCGGATCTCCTTCAGCGCGCGAGGAGCTCTCCTCTTGAAGGAGCTGCAGGAGGAGGACAGGTGTTACGGCGCAGGACAGATACAGCGGAGCGGTGGTTCGCTCAGGAGGGACTCACATGCCGTGGATGCGCTTGTGGATGTTGATGGTGTACTCGCGGGTCACCACCTCGTTGATGGCGGAGCGCCCCTTCTTCTTCTCGCCCTTCTTAGGTGCCATCTGAACACAAACACAGCAACACAATCCCTCCAGCTTCAGTTTACATTCAGCACAACACCCTCGAACCAGAACAACCACAGAGCTCTCCAGTAACATTAGATATGTGACCCCGGACCACAAAACCAGCCTCAAGGGTCAATTTCTTGAAATTGAGATTTATGCATCAGCTGAAAGCTGAATACATGAGCTTCCACTGATGTATGGTTTGTTAGGATAGCACAATATTTGGAAATCTGGAATCTGAGGGGTGCAAAAAAAAACAAAATATTGAGAAAATCATCTTTAAAGTTGTCCAAATGAAGTTCTTAGCAATGCATATTACTAATCAAATTAAGTTTTGATATATTTACGGTATGAAATGTACTTAACATCCTAATGATTTTTGGCATAAAAGAGAAATGTATAATTTTGACCCATACAATTTATTGTTGGCTATTGCTACAAATATACCCCAGCGACTTAAGACTGCTTTTGTGCTGCAGGGACACATATGTTAATGAGTTCTGATTCTACACGCTGATTGGACCAGAGACTCGCCTGAGTGACGCGCTCTATATTAAAGGAGCAGTTCACTTCAGTCATCATTTAGGAAAAAAATACAATGCAAGTCAATGGCGACCAACAGCCGTTCGCTTCAGAATATATTCTGTGTCCAAAAGAAAGGTTTGTCACGACATGAGGAAGACTAAATGATGATTGTTCATAAACTACACTTCATTAGCGCGGTCTGTCGCCTCACCGCGCGTGTAATACTGCGTTTACCGTGGTATAATACTCTGTTTACCGTGGTATAATCGGAGTAGAGCGCTGCTTTACAGCTTCACTCGAGAGCGACGCTTCAGCATCGAGTCTTTAATCGCGCACATCGGCGTTTTAAACGCGACAAAACGCGTCGCAGCGCTAGATAAGGTGCCTTTGCTCTCGGATGAGACGCTACGCTGAACTATTAGCCATTTATAACGCGGATGATGCCGGATTTGTGAAGAGTAGATGAGAGGAAGATACTCACTCTGCGCGGAGAATGTGGGTCTCTGTCTGTGTGTGTGTCTCTCTCTTGTGTGTGTGTGTGTGTGTGTGTGTGTGTGTGTGTGTGTTTGGCTATATTATATATTATTTGTAATATTATGTTTGTACTTAAAACAGTTTTTATTTGTGAACGCCGATTTGGTTTCCGTGTTGAACTACATCTCCCATGATTCCGTGCGCCGCACAGGAAGTGCTCACGGACAGCGGAAGCGCAGAATTATTAATTCAGATGATCAAAACAGAAAGAGCCAAATGATTGAAATATTAAGCTGTGTAATCGTTCATATAAACGTCACGCCGCGTCTGTTCTAATTAAATATTCATGAGCCGATAAATGAACTCCTCTCAGGTAAATGTTGTTGTTCACTGCCGTCTAATGTTTATAACTATATAATAACTGCAGTAATATTTCCAGATGAACACTTGCTGGACTGAAGCAGCTCAGCTTTACTTGATTCTCCGTCAATCATGTTTTAGAGTCTCAAATCTGATCCTCAGGATCTTTTGAGGAGCGTTTGTTTCCAGAAGCTTTACTTTCACTGTTCCTCAGCGGAGGAATGATCTTCACAAGCCTCCAGAACATCTCACATCTTCTGAGGAGCCTTTATTTCTTCAGCTCTCAATCAGCACTGGATTCACTCAGGAGAAAACAGGTACAAAAGTGTGCTGCTCCAGTGACAGCTTTTGTACCTTTTAGTCTGAGAGTGTTGCATTGCATTATATGTTTGGATCATCTCATCTTATATTACTGGAGATATAGAGCGGCGACTGATGTTTAGATCATTTTATGTCAGCATCTGCTGCACTGTACTGTTACTGCATCTGCAGCAAACTCATATTTTTGCTCTTCTGTCCTCATACGTGTCTCTCCAGTTCTCCCGTTGATCCAGTGGCTCGTCTGACTGAAGCATCATGACTCTGGCTCCTAAAGAGCTGTCTAATCTGCTGGGCATCATGTCGGATGACGCCTGCAGCAACAGCTTCGAGCAGCTCTCCACAGCCTTCCACCACTGCTTCGGGAAAGCCGAGCACTTCCGCGTGGGTTCGGTTCTGGTGATGCTTCTGCAGCAGCCCGACCTGCTTCCCAGCGCTCCTCAGCGGCTGACCGCTCTCTATCTGCTGTGGGAGATGTACCGCACCGAGCCGCTGGCCGCTAACCCCTTCGCCGCGGTGTTTGCGCACCTGCTGAACCCGTCGACCGCGGCAGAGGAGCAGGAGACGCTCTCAGGTGCGTGTGTTTCTCTTGCGTCGTCGCTCGAGTGAGTCTCTGCTGTAGTGTTTGTGACGCTTCCCTGCAGGTTTCCTGCCCCCCATCACGCTGCCGGAGAAGTACTTCCTGTCTCAGCTGATGCTCGCTCCGCCGCGAGAGCTCTTCAAGAAGACGCCGAGACAAGTGTCCAGCATGGACATGAGCTCCACACCGCAGACCATAGACATCAGCGGACTGCAGCTGGCGCTCGCCGGTACAACACGCCACACACTGATCAAAACGGTCTCTTCTGCTCAGCCAGGCTGCGTTTATTTGATCAGAAATACTGTGAAAATTTGAAATATTTTTATAATTTAAAACAGCTGTTTTCTATGTGAATATGTGTTAAACTGTAATGTATTTCTGTGATGCGCAGCTGTATTTTCAGCATCATTACTCCAGTCTTCAGTGTCACATGATCTTCAGAAATCACTCTAATATGCTGATTTGCTGCTCGAGAAACATGGTTATTATTATCAATGTTGAACACAGTCGTGCTGCACAATATCTGCCGTGATGCACTATCATTCAGAAGTTAGTAAGTCAGATTAAAAAAAATAAAATTGTTTTTCTTCAACAAGGAGGCATTAAATTGATCTGATGTGACAAAGACATTTATAATATTACAAACATCATATACATATTATATATCATGTTCGCGCTTGTTGTTGCCTTTAATTTATGCTTATTACAAATTGCATATATATATATTACAGTAATGAGTATTTTCATTGGGAATAAACAAGCTTAACTTTCTTTAAGCAAAATGTACACTATAGTTCAAACGTTTAGAAAGTTTTTGAAAGTAATTAACACTTTTATTCGTCAAGGACGCATTAAATTGATAAAAAGTGACAGTGAAGACGTTTATAATGTTACAGAAGATTTCTGTTTCAAATAAATGCTGCTCTTCTGAACTTTATGTTCATCTGTGAATCCTGAAAAATAAAATGGATCACGGTTACTGTTTTCAACATTGATAATAATCAGAAATGTTTCTTGAGCAGCAAATAAGCATATTAGAATGATTTCTGAAGATCATGTGACACTGAAGACTGGAGTAATGATGCTGAAAATACAGCTGCGCATCACAGAAATACATTACAGTTTAACAGAGATTCACATAGAAAACAGCTATTTTAAATTATAAAAATATTTCACATTTTTTACTGTATTTTTGATCAAATAAATTCAGCCTTGCTGAGCAGAAGAGACATCTTTCAGAAACATTAAAAAAAAATTATTCCAAACTTTTGACTGGTATTGTAAGGCACGACTCGTATCTGATATTTACAGGTATATCCGTCTCAGATCTCCACTATATCGGATTATAATCGGCTGAAAATCCAATCCTGTGCTTTTTCCGGTGTTCCAGAGAGATGTAATGATGTGCTGGTTTGTGTCTTTGGTTCAGAGCGTCAGTCGGAGCTGCCCACTCAGAGCAAGGCCAGTTTTCCCAGCCTGCTCAGCGACCCCGACCCAGACTCCTCTAACTCGGGCTTCGACAGCTCCGTGGCCAATCAGATCACAGAGTCTCTGGTGACCGGCCCGCGGCCTGCTCTGGAGAGTGAGTGTGACATGCTCGTGTTTCTGCTGTGTGTTAACTGCAGCTAAACGTCTGGTTTCATCTCGTCTGTCAGGCCACTTCCGGCCCGAGTTCATCCGGCCCGCTCCGCCGCTGCTGGTGTGTGAGGACGAGCTGTCGTGGCTCGACCCGTGTGAGCCGGATCACCGGATACAGTGGGACCGGTCCATGTGTGTGCGCAGCGGCACGGGAGTGGAGATCAAGCGCATCATGGCCAAAGCCTTCAAGAGTCCGCTATCAGCGGCGCAGCAGACGCAGGTCAGACATGGCATTGTTTTTGCCCATTTCCACCCACAATCTCTTTACTGCAATGTGAAAAAATAACCATGTCTGTTTAAGTTGTAAGGTATTTATATATGATGCATACGATGCCTTTATGCTTATTAAAAACTACTTATGTATTACAGGAATGAATGTCTTCGTTGGGAATAAACACGCTTAAGCAAAGTATACAGTATCGTTGAAAAGTTTGGGGTCAGAAAAATAAATATATTATAAAAATAAATAATACTTTTATTCATCGAGGACGCATTCAATTAATCAAAAGTGCCAGATATTCGATTTTTAAAAATCCTCGACTTCATTTTGCTCGCGTCGACTAACCGGCAGAATACCGGAAGTGGTGCATTTCACATACGAGAATGTATAAAACACATTATTAGTCTGTTTCTCAAGGCTGCATGATATATTAAAAAAATAATTAAGCATAATTGTGAATTCACAAACGCTACGATTTAATTAAATAATTATATTCGATGCAGTTCTACTACAGTATATGCGCTTTAATTATTTACATGCGTGTAGGTTAAGTACATGCGTCACAGTAGTTCCTATTATAATTATAGGGCCCTATGAAATCAGTTTTATTTCCAAATTCAGGTTTTTTCCATTCTATACTCTGTTTTAATGGTTAAATAAAATTGTAATAATCAAAAGCATCTCCAATTAATTGATTTTATTAAAAAAAAAATAAAAAAGTTTTTTTTTCAGAAATACTGCACATTTACATTTTTCTCCTAAATAAATTCTGGTAAATAAAATTTCTGTTAAATACTCTTTTAAAAAGAGTTTTTTGATTATAATTGTATTATTAGTAGACCAGAACACGTGGATATGTTGTCATTCTTACACTATAATACTGAACTCTGATTTCAGTGATCTGGACTCTGAGATGGACAGCTGCTTCTTGCACTCTATGCTGCACTTTAGTTTTGCTTTAAAAAAAGGATTTCATAGAAATTTGGATTTCATTTGGTTTAATAAAATAGTTTCATAAAATATTCTTAGGTAAAATTGTTGATTTTTTTGTGGGAAATTAATCATTTAGATGAACCGATTAATCTATAAATTAGTCGATAGATTAATCGAAATAAAAATAGTCGTTAGTGGCAGCCCTACAAAGGTGTAAGTTTGTAGAGTCATTTACAACAGCTTCGAACGTGGCTCAGCCAATCAGAATCAAGCACCGGAACTATCGGGTTTATAATCAGAAATGTTTGTTGAGCAGCAAATCAGCATATTAGAATGATTTCTGAAGATCATGTGACACTGAAGACTGGAGTAATGATGCTGAAAATACAGCTGCGCATCACAGAAATACATTACAGTTTAACAGATATTCACATAGAAAACAACTGTTTTAAATTATAATAATATTTCACAATTTTACAGTATTTTTGATCAAATAAATGCAGCCTGTATGCCTAAATAAATGCAAAAACATTTTTAAAAAAATACACGCCCCTAACTTTTGAATGGTAGTGTACATTTTGTACTCTTCAATAAATATGAATTCCCTTAATATATATGTAATTTTTAGTGCAACAGTGTATACATAGTTTATCAAATGTTCTTTGGTTCCTCAGCTGCTTGGTGAACTGGAGAAGGACCCAAAGCTGGTTTATCATACCGGTCTGACTCCAGCCAAACTACCGGACCTGGTTGAGAACAACCCACTGGTGGCCATCGAGATGCTCCTGAAGCTGATGTCCTCCAGCCAG